AGCAGCAGCAGCTTCCAGATGTCCCAGCAGGCTTCAGCCACGGGCAGTATCAGCATAGAAGAGATAGACCTGGAGGGCAAATACGTCCAACTGAAGAACAACTCGGAGAAGGTGAGAGGCAGCAGGGTTCCTGGAGGTGAGGGGGAGGCAGACTGGAAGGCTGCATGGCCTGTTGCAGCACCAGCAGGTGGAGTGGCACGGGGGGCAGGAGTGACGTTCCCAAGTGCAGCATCTTGCACTAAGGGGGGATTGGAAAGCTGAACGTGCAGTGTGCTGGCACAGTGTGTTGTTGTTGCAGTTGAGAAAACAGTTTGTTGCACAGATAACTGTGTGTCAGTACCTTGCTGGTGCAGATAGCCTTGCTGGATCCAGGCAGAACTGCTTTGGGCTCTGTATCTTCTTACATTTTGCTGAATGACCTGATGGGATTCATGCTTTAATAGTGGGTAGAGAAAAAAAACTTCCAAGCTAGAATGGAAATGTCTAACATGCATGTATATAAATTTATGTTCATGTTATTTTAATACCAAATGTGTAGGGGAATCTCTGCCTGTTTGCTCTGTTTTGTTCACCTTAAATAACCCTATCCTCTCTCCTTAGGATCAGTCTTTGGGTAACTGGAGACTTAAAAGACAAATTGGAGATGGAGAAGAAATTGCTTACAAATTTACTCCTAAGTATGTCCTCAGAGCTGGGCAGACTGTAACAGTAAGTTATACTTCCAGTATGTCAACAACACATTCTTTTGTTGATGTGGCTGTTGTAAATCTGATGTTTGGTACAGCCTGATTTGCTGTGTAAAATTTTGCTTCATGGATCTCAGTTTAGAGGAGCAGGATTTGAGTTACAAAAGTGCAGCACAGAAATTGATTTTCTATTATTAGCACTTGAGTACTTAAGAGCATTTTACCATGACCATTCAACAGAGAAAGTTGAAGGAAAAGGTGTTTCGGGGGGTGGGTCAAGGGCTATTTGTTTTAAAACACCTTTGCCCAGGTTTCAAACAC